GGTTGTTTGGGTTTAAGGATTGGGTTGGGAAAGATGACATGGCGGGTTGATTTACGTGGCATGTCGGGTTTGGTGATGTGGCGGGTTAAAAAAGGGCGAGTCAGCACTTCTGTTAGCCACTTAAGCAATTGACTAACGGTGTTAATGGAGACTAATGGAGAGTGACTAAACGTGGACCATTTCACTAATTCGAGTGACCAACATTGATATTAATTTTTCCCAGTGACTAAAAATGACACGCTATAATAAACCTAGTGACCAAACGTGGCATTTACCTTTAAGTTCTTGAACATTCTTTAATTTCTACTGTCTTTTGGTCTTTGCCTTCTCCTTCGACTACACTAGAAGGATGTATAGTAGTTTGCAGGGCCGACCCTTGGGGTGTGCCAATAGGCCCTCCAGCACATGCCTCCAAATTACAGGGCCTCCGATTCAGTAGCGAATTCATAGGGAAACCACTAAAATTTGGAAAAACGATTATTCAATTCTCGATAGTAGTTTGCGTACTGGTGAAAAAAGTATTTAACTGGTAGCAGGACACCTCTAAAATTTGAAAAATGATTATTAAGACCCGGTAGTAGTTTGTGTATGCACAAATAAAAACATTTAAGTGGCATCGTATGTAATTTGAACTAGAGTCACTGCTACTATTACTAATTACTAAATATATTTTTGATTAGATTACAAACTCATTTGCTCTTTAATTTTAAATTCAAATATAATAATAAAAGAATATTTCTGATTCTTATTATTTTTAAAAGCTAACGTTTACGGGCCCTTAGTCTAGTATGATATATCAAGAGAGATTTGTAGAGCAGTGTTAGAGATTGAATATATTTTACAATTTTACAAAGTACAAACCACGTCATGTGCTGTTGTTATAATTTGCACAAGTCGGATATTATCTTATTAAAGAATTATTTTGTTATTAATTTGATTTTCAAAAGACGACAACCCTGTCTAAGATCCTTGGGTTTGCCACTTCTCCGGCCTGTATCATGTATATGTCTAATCAAGTGTAAATCAAGACAATACTCATGTAACAGTAAAAAAAAAAGAAGAAGTAAATCAATTGTAAATAGTTTGTACGTACTTAATTTTAGTTTTAAAAATTATAAGCTTCTCCTATCTAATATTTTCTTCTCAAATATTTTTTCATACTCGGTGATTCATCTAAAGGTATTCTCCTTTGTTACTCAATTAAGTTCTCATCACCTGTTTAGGTGAGTCCTAGTTGTTTGATTAATTGTGAACTATTATCGCTCTTTATTTTAAATTATATTTTTTTAAAATAATTTGTATTTATTTATTATTAAGTTTTAAAGAAAAAATGGACCTCATTTTATTTATAGAACATGAACCCTACATTCTTAAAGCGGGCTTGGTAGTTTGCATGATCCGGTGGATCTATAGTTTATATGCTCAATCGATTTCTTAAACTAAATGGAAACACAAAATGAAAAACCATTGATAAAGGTAAACGAGGAGTCAAGAACTTTCGACAACGAAGTCAGAAAAACTATCTTCTCACTCATACGTTGTTACAAACAGAGACAATAACTTAAGAGACAGCTGATCAACCCAAAGGACCCATCACAATCCTAAAACACCCATCCTTACAAAAGAGACTGAACAATGTCGGGATCCGTTATTAAGATTCATAACTAGGTGGAAAATTAAACAGCAAGCGTTCAAAGCCAAAGGGAATGTAACAACAATGAATGCAGAGGAACACATATATAGATTACACTCCCGTGATGAACTGATCGTCGATTAAGCAGTGCTTGATGATGCTCCAAGGAAGACATCCGTCAGGACTGTCTTTGACTGCAGAGAAGCCTTCAGCAGATCCAACCCTAAAACAAACAAACAAACAAAAGAAGCAAACGCAAACCCATTTTCACTGATCATTATTAGTTCCCAAACCATTCAAATAGATCAAACCAGGAATTTCCAGGAAACAATGTTGAGGATATTAATTACTTAGTCAAAAAGTAATTAATTCCTTGTCCTACAAGTCACTAGTTTTCCTTGTTCAAGTGAAAGAAGGAAATTTGGTTGTCATTAGGGTTTTAACCCTAAGTCTATATCTATAAAAGCTTAGCTACGGTCATGTCGTAAGCAAGCCATCAAGATGTAGTCCTCGAATAATAAAACGTCAGCCGTGATTAGTCTCGATCAATCAATCGATCGAGGATACCACGTAAAATTCGTTGTTCTGTGTTCTATTTCAATTCCGTATCATCAAATTCTTCATGGTATCAGAGCTAACCTCGGTCCATTGTTAGGGTTTGCGCTTCCGCCCTCGTTTTGGTTCTTCTGTGCGTTGTCCCCGTCATGTCCGACGAGTCCGCACTGAGGTCGATGGGATCTGCCGTCCCTGATGTCATCAATCGTCAATTGCCGTCGTCAGTCAATTTCAAAAGCTACCTTCACAGAAGCCACCGCCGGCAATCAACTCAATGTTGACGTCTCTCCAACATCATCCCGATGTCACCTCGATAGTCACATTTGCCGTTGAAAGAAGAGTCGATGTCCACTCCGGCCTTCTACTCCGGATCCGTATCAAAGTCGGCGTCCGTCATCATCGGTTGTGCTCTTGTTATCTATCGTCGTCCTTGTCACGGCTGGTCGTCATCATCGCCAGTCGCCAGACGACGAGGATGCTAAAAGGAACGGCTGCGAGAAGGTTTGTTTTGGATCCAAGTCGGCGTCAACAATGCTCCTAAGTTTTGAGCTGCTTCCTCAAGTCCGAAGAAGAGTCAAGCTTGAGAACTGGAGGGAAGATTCCCACTATCCGTGCATCGCCATTGCAACGTCATCATCGCCAGTATGCCGCGGCCGTTGTGCACGTCCATGTCTGGCTGTGGTCGCACATAAAGGTTTCAAACCCTCGTCTAGTCAACGGCCACGCTAGGCTATATAAAGGTCAAAGTTTCTGTTTGTGTTTTGTCGAGAAACCCGGTCGTTGCGGCGGGATTGTCTTCATCAAGGTCAGCGTACTCTCTTCGACCCAGCATCAAGTGGGGGATCAGGCCGCGACAGGGGCGGAGCCAGGATTGAAAGTTCGGGGGGCCGGATTTATTTAGTAAATTATTGTGAAAATCCAAAGATAAAAATAAATAATAACGACACATATTAATTAAAATAAAAAAAACTCAAAATATAAATAATTTAAAGTTTTCCAGTATGTTATACTCAAAATTAATGTTTATATTGTGAGCAAAAATTATCATGCATTTTAACATGTAATTGTTTTATACCTTGAATATGAATTTATGATTATATTATTGTTTTTAAAAATTAATTAATTACATATAAAAAACAATCTTTGAAAATATGAATGTAAAAGTTTAAAAACTTGACTGAATTTATTTAAAATTACAGGATTTATAAGACAAAATAGAAAAATTAGAGGATTAAACTGGAAAAAAATTGTTAAAATTATAAAAAAAATGCTGTCTATCAGGGTCGAACCCTGAACATTATAGCTACAAATGCATGGCTTCTCTCGCTACACTAGAAATGTAGGCTGTTAAGAATATTTCACTCTTATTTTATATACTTGTTACATTGAGTTTATACGTAATTCTCGCAATTACCTAGGACTTTATACGTAAGTTCAAAATTCTCGGGGGGGGGGGGGGGGGGGGGGGCCGGAGCCCCCCGAGAGCCTACATAGCTCCGCCCCTGGGCCGCGACGTCACATATCCACGTCTTGGACTCCAATTCGATCTTCCAATCGTTGCGGCGAGTCTTCTCCCCATTGGTATCAGTGAGTTCGTTTTTGGGCCCTTCCATCCCCTAGAACCCTCTAGCCTTCCGTTCCTAATGACAACAAGCTCTATTATTCCCCTTCACCTTGTCCCGCCCAAATGTACACGAAGCTGTTTGCTTCTCAATTCAGTGCTCCACTTTGGTTGTTGTTTTGTGGACAAGGATGCAGAACTTTTGTTCTTTTCATTGAATTAGATCAATTCATGTGTTGTTTGGTTAATTCAGCTTGGTTAATTCAGTTTGAGAAGGCAAATCTTCACCAATACCATGGCGTTGAAGACAATCGTGTAGCGGCGGTGGTAGTTGGTGTTGGGAAGATACAACGGCGTTCGCCATCGAAGTTTGTCCAATCGTACATTGAGGTAGTCACAATCTAAGAAGCGATTGTCCCCTCAGTATTCAGGTAAATTTCAATCTTCACCATTTTAACTTTCAAGTGGGGCATTCACTACGTTCATGCTCCAACTTGAGGGGGAGAATAGGGAATCATAGGGAATCATAGGTCGACTAGTTCAGTCATCAAGTCGACCGTGTCTATCTATCACTCAAGTTGCATGGAGAAGCACAGCTAGCAGTGCAGGTAGAAGACTCCAAAGTTAGCAACGCAGTCATCAGTCTTTTGTCTCATCCAAGACGTCAAGGGATTCCGCCATGCTGAGTTAATTGTCAAAGAACTGGGTCAAGCATGGAGTAGGATCAGTCTCATCCACAACGTCAAGGAGTTTCGCCAATGCTGAGTTCACTGTTAAAAGAACTGGGTCAAGCATGAAGTAGTTTCGTCATTTGTCTACCTCTCCCACAAGTGAACAAAGTCACAGTTTGTTGGATCGTCATTGCCAACAAGAGGTTGTTTGACTGTTGTTCAGTTTCAAACTCGACATTCTCGTCATTCATGTCTTCGCTTGAGGGGGAGTGTTGAGGATATTAATTACTTAGTCAAGAAGTAATTAATTCCTTGTCCTACAAGTCCCTAGTTTTCCTTGTTCAAGTAAAAGAAGGAAGCTTGGTTGTCATTAGGGTTTTAACCCTAAGTCTATATCTATAAAAGCTTAGCATGGTCATGTCGTAAGCAAGCCGTCAAGATGTAGTCCTCAAATAATAAAACGTCAGCCGTGAGCTCTTCCGAGCTCACCGTGGATTAGTCTCGATCAATCAATCGATCGAGAATACCACGTAAAATTCGTTGTTCTGTGTTCTATTTCAATTCCGCATCATCAAATTCTTCAACCAATATTAAGGTATCGAAAAGGGTCGGTCACCTCATCCATCCCAATCTCGATGAATATCTCCTCCAGAGCACCAACTTCTTGAATGTTGAACTTGTTCAGCAGAGTGATACTGGAGATCGTTGACATGGGTTTGACCTCCAAGTCGTCCATAACCATGTAAGTCACCACCCCTTTCAGAAACCCACCTCCTTCTTCACCACTCCAACCCGCTTCATTATTCTTAGCAGGCGAGGCAACAAGCTCCACTGCATACTGCATTCTCGAGGTCGAGGAACATTTCGGACACATGGCTAGTGGGTCAAAAGTCACCACCCTGTGGGAGTATTGGCACGTATAGAACTTTCTAGTTGGCGTAGATCCATCGTCGGATAGCAAAAGGGTGCTGCCGGTTGTTGGGGTTTCTGGGTTCAGAATGGTGTGTTTGTTTAGGGTTGGCTGGATGAATGTGTCGTTTAGATCTTCAATGCTCTGGTACAAGTTGCCAAGACAGCCTACCATAGTACTTCTTGGAGAAGAGGCGTGTCACGGTGCCTAGAGGGAGTGAGAGGATGGTGAAGAGGAAATCAACAAACTCCTTGCCTGCTTCTCCAAACAGTACTTTGTGGCTCTTCTTGTCGACTAGGAGCTTCAGGGTCACTTTCAAGGCGGCAGCCATTTTTGGTTAAGCAGAGAACAGCTCGTGGAGCAGGGATGGGTTGTTGAGAGCAGAGTTGTGTGAACTGGGAACTAAACACTTCCCATCGTTTGGAGAAAGTGATTTATAGACGGATTCAGCCAGCCCATAAAGAAAGAGAAATTTTACAATGCTATATAGTATTGGTGCTATAGGGTTTTGTATTTATGGTACAACTTAAAATTATACATTTACGTTATGGTACAACTTCAGATTGTACCTATACGTCTTGTACAAATTCTTTTATGGTACAATTTGAACTTGTACCTTTATGTGATGGTACAACTTCAAGTTGTAAAATTGTACCATAACATAATGGTACAAATTACTTTATGGTACAACCTAAACTTATACATTTAATGTTATGGTACAACTTTAAGTTGTACATTAAAGCACCAATACTATATAGCATAGTAGAAGTGCTCATAAAGAAAAAGAAAAGTTTTGCTTTTCCAATATAAAACATTAACTTAATCTCTCTCTCTCCTTTTTTTTTTCACAGGAACTAAAGTTATGAACTGGATCGGGTGGTAAGCTAACATCAAGGTATGTCGCTCAATTAAACCTGGTTTAATTGGTATTGATCATGAAATGGGTTAGAATACCACTGATATGTTGTTGCAGTCAAAACCGTTCAGAATCATCAATTCCCGAAATATCGGTGGTTCAACCGAAAGGCTAATTTTCGCTCTCTTATTACGTTGTCGTTTACTAGTTTTTAACTCACTGAGAATGTTATGCCTCTTTCGTTCAACAATCAACTCCTATCCTATGTGCACCGTTTGCTCATTTTCTCCTAGCGATAGGAGTGCGCAATGGTTCGGTCTGGTCAGGACCAAACTCATGATAACTGAGGTCCAATAAGTGAAAGACATCTCATAACCAAAGACCAAACCTACATTACATTCACTTTGCTTTGGTCTGATTTTGTCATCTCCAAACGTATATGCATAGTCATATATAACACTCACACCAAAGGTAAGATAGCCTAATGATAAAACTGCCGCAATAGTGAAGGTTTGGGAGTTGCAGATCTCAGGTTCGATCCAAGCGAGGACTGTTGGTGTTCACGGAGTTATGAGATTTCTGGGGGCGAGGTCTCGTTGGCGTCGAATTGATTGCAAGTGACCCCAGGTTTAGTAGGCCCCGTTGTCACAAAGTGACACGTGAGACTGAGGTTTCTGGGTAATACATATATAACACTCAGTTTATGAAAGAAATTAAATATTTTCTCAATTTAATGAGCTATATCTCTTTCTTTTTAAGTCATAACTCAAACCTTATTGCATAGAAAATCACATTAATTGTGATCTTCAAAATGACATATATATTTTGGAATGAAAATTGAGACATTTATTATCATGGTGGTATGAAAGTATATAGTGATTGTATGAATATATCATACGGTAGAATGACTGAATACGTGATAGTAGAAATATACTAATTGGTAACGTTAGTTACCACTTTTCATCATCGACTACTACCTTATACCATGCTAGTATATTTGAGTTTGAAATTGTTTTTCCCTAGAAATTTGTAGATCCAATAGATCAGAAAGAATTCGTTCCTTTTTGTGCAATTTTTTTAAAAAAATTTGAGTGAGAAAACGAAAGCGATATAGGGTAATACCAGAGTGGTAACATGTGGTGTGAGTGGTAATGCAGTCAAGATCGTTATTTTATGTAAAATAAAAAATTAGATAAAATTTGAATCACAGATTAAAATCGTAAAATTGTAAGATTTTAACATTCATATCAAAATAAACACTTAGAACAACGTATAGTATTAACAACGAATATCCTGAATAACAATCAACCACATATAACTTAATTACTTCCTAAGATAAGTTTGTATGTTAAATAAATACAAATATTTCCATAGATTTATTATTGTACATAACAAAAAGTCAAAAACACACCAATAAACAACCTGAAACCTCATAAAAATCACTGTATCTAATTGATAAATTAAAGTAGAAAATCACACATATAAGATCGTTTAGATCAACATTAACATCCCTCACACATCAACATCCTCACTCTCACTCTCATTCTCATAGAATACTTGTCTATTTGCTTAAACAATGACATAATTATTCTCAATGACGTACTTTCACCATTAATCATATTTCCTTGATCATCATCATGTGACAAAGGTAATTCATTGATTGATGCATTCTCTTCTTGATCAAAAAAAGTTCGAGGATGGTGGTGCTGAAGGTTAGGGAGATGAATAAAAGCTTGCAAGGGAATGAGGATTGTACTAATTGCGAGGGTGGTGGAGAACAAACTACGAGCTAATTGGGATGGTGGAGGAAATTATTGATGGAAGGAGTTTGTTGCGGGGTGTGGAAGAGGAAGAGAATAACAATCCATTGAGGGTTGCCTATCGTGTTAAGGTTTTGTTGTTCATGATGTTGGGTCGAGGGAAGTGAGCCAGACCCAGTTCATGGACGAAATTCGACCTGACCGACCTGATTTTGCTCTAATTGACATGAACTTTGAAATCGTACAAAATTGTATAAATCTTAGATTTTAAAGATTTTACAGTTTTAAATCGCGAATTTATGGAATTTTAAGGTTCAAAGATTTTGTTTTCTTTCTTTTGAGTTTTGTCGGTGTTGTTTGTTTTGGTGATAATTTGGTTGAGATTGTTAAAATCAATGCAGTTAAAAGCGCGATTCTACCTAGAAGCGGAAAATGAGTAAACTCGTAAAACGTAGAATCAAAGCGTAAAACCGTAAGTTTTTGGCGCACCCTCTAAAATAGCTAAAATATATTAAGTACAGCATATGGTATGTAAAATGTGAGTGTGTAGATTTTAGATAAGTGAATAACTACATGAAATTCATAATTAAAATGTAATTTCTTAACACAAACTAATTTGTGTTGACTCAAAAGTAGAGAAAACTCATAACATCTTAATAATAAGCTCATAAACGTAGATCGTAACCCGTAAACCAGCTTGAGAATCCAAATTCTCATAAGCTGGTTTGAGTTTACATAATTACATATGATCAATTACCCATAAACTTTTATCGTAACCCAGGTAAAAGCCACAGGTAAAGATTAAGGGAGAAGACTGATAGAAGGTTAGCGGCTGACGGCTGTTGAGAATACCATTAGGTGTCTTTTCAACCTAATGTGAATCCCCTATCTCGACACTAATTGTAGAATGAGTAATGAATCATGTTTTCCTTTTTTTTTTTTTTGCTGATATGTCTCCAAAATTACATCACTTTGGGCCAATTAGCACATTTTTATGTGATGATCAAAATCGTATAAAAACGCTTAAGAATCGCGATTTTACCGATTTTAAGCGATTTTACCGATTTTACCCATGTTTTTACCAGTTTTTGTGACTAAGCGACTTTAGGTAGAAACTGAAACGTTTTGGTGGTCTGGATACGTAAAAACGTAAGTTTTTACGTTTTAATGCGCGATTTTGACTACACTGGTTAAAATGTTTGTATAGTATGGATTGCATCCGATTTTGTTTTTTAATTCTCTGCACAAACAATACAAGCATTGTTTGCTTGATATGATAGAAACTGTAACTTCAAATAAGTGATAATTAAATATCATAATTTAATTGAGATTGTTGAGATAGTTTGGTTTTATTTTGTTCCAGCTTTACCATAACTTTTCATTTGCATTGCGTATTATATTAAAAATAAAAGATACTAAAAGTACAATTTCATCTAAAAAGTAATATAACTTAATTAAATACTACAATCAGTTTGAGAAAAATTAAACAATGTAAACTACAATAAACCAATTTTGTTAATTACATGTATAGTACTGCACATGCATTGATCATAATCAATTAATTTAACTATCACCAAAACCAATACTATGCATAAGTTTTTTTATAGATATTTGTGTAAACTTGTAATTGCTTTTTTAATAATGAAATTCATGAAAAAATGTCTTTTGGATTCGGAGGGATATGAAATAGTACTCTCCTCTTCCTCATATTCGCCAATAGAGTGTAGACTGCGGTCCTTTGACGACCCTTGACATTGATTTGAAAGAGCAGGCCTCAAGAAGCAGCAAAATAAGGTTCTCCCACCTATTATTAGGAGGACGTCCTCTCAGCGGAGAATATGATATTTGTGTAATGATAATATGGTATACGATCTACATGAATACATGTTTGTCCATCAAGAAAAATGTATTCTTATAATAGATAGTGGTATGAAATCAAATCTTTTACGACCCTTGACACTAAAAAACCGTTGAATCTTTGTCCGGATTCTGAAAAAATGGCCGATTTTATCCAAGAAAAGGGTATTTACTATGATGATTATCAAGCGGTACATACTCATTTTACCCAATTGTTGTTGTTGTTATAATGATTTATTTAATTTATATACTAATTGATTTATTTTGTTATTATGCTATCGTAGGTTGGGCCGGATGTTGATTTATAAAATCAAAGATATTATATTGATCAAGGACCGATTGATCGGACTATTTTATACGATCAGCCAATCATCGTTCAAGAGACGTTTGGAACGACCACAAGGTACATATTATTTATCATCACTTGTAATTTTTATTTTGTTATAGTAATTTATTTGTTTGTATAATAATTTACTTAATTGTTAATCATATTGATTATTTTCAATAATTTAAATCAATACAATACAACACTTATTTAGACTCTTTATAAAGAAATGCATGTCTAAGAAAATGGGGACTTAAGCGATCATCATGACCCCTCCATGACCTGGGAAAATCGGATTCTAAGCGATCCTCGGATCCCCCCTTTTTCTGTCAAAAAGACTGTGTTTCTAAGGAGATGTATACCTCTCCTAAGAGTC